ATTTCCTTCCTTCTGTGAGCTTTAGATCTGGTTGGTCTTATTTTACTAATATGGTATGGTTGGTTATTGACTTGAGGATGTTTTTTGTTTGACTTGAGGATGTTTTTTGTTTGCTCAGTGTTGGGGATTGAACTCAGGGACTCATACATATGCCAAGGACTCATGCACTGAGCTACATACTCAGCCCTTTGTTCTTGTGTGTGTGTGTGTGTGTGTGTGTTGTGATAGGACCATGCCACAGTATGTAGTCCAGTCCAGACTGGCCCTGAGCTTTTGATCACCCTGCCTCATCTTCTCAAGTCAGGGATTACAGGCATGTGGTACCACATCCACCTTAGAGCTTTCTTTGTTCTTAATTAACATGAATATTTATAGCTATAAAATTCCATCTAAGCACTGCTATAGCTGCATTTCATAAGTTTTGTATTGCTGTGTCTTCACTTTTATCCATCTGAAAGTATATTCTAATTTCTAATTTATATCATAGCTTCACACATGCTCATAGTATCTCATAGCTTCATGTGCCTCTCACAGGCACACTGCCTGGCCTCCCAGGCCTTCTGAAGTCTGGGTGGAAGCCTCCATGACCTTGTGACTGTTGCCTTACGGATGATGATATCTATAAAACCAGCACCAAGTGGATGATACCAAGTTCTGCTGACAGCTTGAGCAGTAAGCAGGCCCCCTTGGATCATGGCTGCAGAAACCTCTGAGCATCTGGATGGCTAAGCACTACGAAATCCTAGAGAACTAATTCCCTATGTGTCCTTTCTGGAGCAGGGGGCATAGGGGCTCTCTTCTTAAATGAAAGCTTTACAGTTTTGCCTTCTTGAGCCTGTAAAAGGTGGGGTTTTGCTGATTTCTGAGATGCCTTAAAGGCCTTTCCTATTGTCTCAATGTAAAGCACAGTACTTGGCCTATTTATTTATTTATTTATTTAAAAAAATTTTTTTTGGACCGAGGATTGAACTCGGGTCCTTGCACTTGTGAGGCAGTTGGCAGAACCACTGAGCTAAATCCCCGGCCCCAAAAGAACTGATAATGAATGTTCACTTTTTTTTTTTTTTTTTTTGTGCCAGGGATCAAACTCGGGACCTTGCGCTTGTGAGGCAGGTGCCGTTATTTATTTATTTATTTATTTATTTATTTATTTATTTATCTTGGTACTAAGGATCAAACTCAGGACCTTGTGCTTGCCAGGCAGCCGCAGTGCCATTGAGCTACATCCCTGGTCCTATTGGCTTCTTTCTAATGCTAATCTTTTTAGCAATTGTGTTTTCCAAGACCCCAACTTTGCAGGTGCTGCCTTTCTGGCAAAACTGGAAACTTTCAGTATCTTTTACCTCTGTCTTTTGCTCCTGATTTTCCCTGTAGATTTGGCCAAAGCAGCCAGTAGCACTCATGTTACAGCTTGAAGTTGGGCTGCTTTGAAATTTTCTATACCAGGTTAATTAGTCCATTGTCCTTAATCTCAGTCTCTCATAGCATCTTAGGACATGGACAAAGTGTAAAACACATGGCCTTGGGCCAGGGATTTAGCTCAGTGGTTCTGCCACATGTCTTGTAAGTGCAAGGACCCAAGTTCGATCCCCAGTACAAAAAAACCCCTCAAAACAAAAAAACAAACACATGGCCTCTAGCCTAACTGCTCATGGAGTCCCAGTTGAAACCTCTTGAGATTGGCCTGTACTTATCTTCTGAACTCTGAGCAGTGTTGCAAATTAACCATTGCTCATGACATTCTAGATCTTCTCTAGTCCACTTCTCCAAACTTTTCCAGACTCCTCCTCCTGTAAACAATTTCCAAATGCTTCTAAACCACAGCATCAGGTATAGTCAGAGCAATGAACCCACTTCTCTGGTACTAAAATCTGTCAGTCACTTTCCTGTCATTGGAACCAAATACCCAATGTCCACAACTTAAAGGAGGAGAGATTTATTTTTGGGTCACAGTTTCAGTCTGTGGTCAGCTGGCTCCAAGGTAGAAATGGTATGATGGAAGGGCGTGGTAGAGAGCTGTTCAACCCATGATACCTAGGGAGCAGAATGAGGAGGACCCAGGGACAAGAATATACTCTTCCATGCCCTGCCCCAGTGACCTGTTTCCAACCTCTTCCTAAGAGTAAGTTGGCTGTTCACTGATGAGTATAGCACCTCCCCATCCAATCACCTTACATGAGACATTTAAGGGACATTTTATTTCACTTTTAAAATTATTTTTTTTTGACACAAGTTCTCACTACCTAGTTTAGGCTGAACTTGTACTCACTTTGTAGCCCAGGCTGCCCGGAACTTGCAGAGATCCTCCTGCCGCAGCCTCCCAGGTGCTGGGATTACAGGCACGCACCACCACACCTGCCCTGCGGGTCATTTTAGATCTAAACCATAATAACCTCTTTCCACATTCTCTTAATGCTACTTTTATCTTTGAATGTTGAGTTTTGGATTTACAGAATAATTTAAATAATAGTATTCCTCTCTGATCTTGGACTGTCAATTTATGCAGCTGCCAGGTTGCCCTTGGCATCCTTCACCTGTTTTGTCTGTGTGAACATCTTCCATAAGAACAGGTGTGAATAGCCGGGGATTTAGCTCAGTGGTTTCACCGCCTGCTGTGCAGGCGCAAGGACCTGAGTTCGAGCCCTGGTATCAAAAAAACAACATGGGCATACTTCGTAAAATTCCAAATAGTAAATAGGCTTCGTGGGCCACACAGTCTGTTCTTTTTTAAATTTAATTTTGTTGTTATTGTTTTGATATAGGGTCTTGCTTTATAGTTCAGGCTGGCCTTGAACTCCCTATGTAGCCCAAGCTGACCTCAAACTTACACCAATCCTCCCGCCTCAGTCTCTCTCACTCTGGGATGGCATTTGCCATCACAACCTGCCACACAGACTGTTTTGCAACCATGCAACTCTCACTTTCATAGGGTGAAAGCAGTAATAAACCTCATGTAAATGAATGGGTGTGACTACGTTCCAGTAAAACTTTATTTCCAGAAACAGTTGGCTGGCCTGCAGGTAGTAATTTTCTGATTCCTGCTCATAGGGGAGGAGCATGCTCTCCCCTGCTCTTCCTTCTCTTCCAATTAGTTAGTGGTACGGTTTGCAGGGTTTTTGCTCCCTCCAGAAATTCAGGTTAAAACCTAATCCTCATTAGAACAGTATTGGGAGGCGTGGGCTTCGGGAGGTGACTGAGTCATGAGGGCTCTACTCTGACACGTGGGCATCTTATAAAAGGACTTGACACAGTGAGTTCTGCTTTTTTGTTTGTTTGAGTTTTTTCGTTTTTGGTTCTGGGATCGAACTTGGGACCACTGAGCTAAATCCCCAGCCCTTGATACAGTGAGTTCTATCCTGTTTTGCTCTTCTGCATATGAAGGCACAGCATTCCTTTCCATGGAGGATGCAGCATCATTCACCATCTTGGAAGTAAGAGAGCAACCCTCAGCAGACAGGTGAAGTGGCCAGTGCCTTCATTTTAGACTTCCAGAGCTATGAGAAATAAACTTCTGTTCTTTATAAATCATCTGATCTCAGGTTTTGTTGTTGTTGTTCTTTGTTTTGTAGTGGAGATCCAACTCAGAACCTTGTGCTTTTGAGGCAGGCAGCTAAATCCCCTTGTTAAAGCAGCACAAGACTGCCTAAAACAGGTAGAATAAAGACATTACAGAAAATCAGGAGCAGCCATCTCCATCACCAAATGGAGCTACTTGTTAAAGCTGGAAGCTCAGTTTTGTTGAAGGAATCTGGATTCCCGAGTTTGAGAATTTTTACATGAGAAAGTAACATCCTTTATAATTTTGGGGTTTTGGAATACCAGTTTATACAGTATATTATTACCATGCCTAATTTGAGTTGGGTTTCTGTCACTTGCCACCGGGAGCTTTGACTAATATAAATAAGAACTTGGGGTGTGAAGTAAAGAACTGTTCCCAACATTCATCCATGGGCGATTGGTGAGTACTTAGTAGGGGAATAATGAGGTGGTTAACTGATTGGCTAATGTGCAGAGTAATGGTTGTCACACTTCCTTGACTAAGTGGAAATAACTTTGTGCATCTTTTTTACTGAGTACCTGCAGTGCCCCAGGCACTCTAGGAGCCATCATGGGGAGGGAATGAATCAACAGACAACCTAAAAGGGAATACAGAGATAAAGAGGGGTTCAACCTTCAAGAGCCAGGTAGCTTGTAGGATGGCTCTCATATTTGGTTTGTGTGATGATTATGATTAGACTGAGGTTATCACTTCCAGCAATCCCATAGCCATACCTCCCCAGTGATGTGCAGTTTTCAGCGAGCCCTATCAGTAGCACTGGTGATGTTAATCTTGATCACTTGGTTAAGGCAGTGCCCGACAGGATTCTCTGTTGTGAACTTACTATTTCTCCCTTTGTAATTACTAAGGTTTTTTTTTTGTTTTTGGTACCAGAGATCGAACTCGGGTCCTTGCACTTGTGCAGCAGGCGGCGAAACCACTGAGCTAAATCCCTGGCCCTTTACTAAGTATTTTAGGGGAGATACTTTGAGCCTCTCCAGGTACCTTGTTTCTGCTTAAACTTTTGCTCACTAATTTTAGCATCCAACCAGTGGATGTTGGAGAAAGCAATCTTGTACTTTCTAGGTCTAAATTTTATTGACCCAGAGAGCGGAAGGGCCAGAGTCATTGCAGGAGAATGATAGGAAAAAGCAGAGGATTAGCTGTAAGACCGCTGGCTTTACCAAACGCTCCAAAAGGAACACACCGGTGCTTCACAGAGCCTGGAGCTGCCAGGGAAGCTTGGAGCTTTGATTCTAATTGCTGAGCCCACCAAGTGATCGAATGGGAAAATGCAGCCTTCCTCCTCCCCCTCCTTCCCCTCCCACACTTGCCGGGCTCTCTGGTCCCAAGTTCTGGGGATGGGCCCTTTATCAGAAGGGTCCTGAGGGCCTGGAGCTGTGCCAAGGGGCATTTCCTCCTGGTGGTCTTTGCTCACTGTGCTTTCTCCTTTCTCCTGCAGTTTGAAGGATGACCTCGAGGAAGAAAGTGTTACTGAAGGTTATCATCCTGGGCGATTCGGGGTAAGTGTCACCTGTATTTGAGCCATCATGTTGGCTTAGAGCTGAGCCTCACTCCCGGGGATCTCCCCGCCATGTTCCCTCCATCCCTGGGCTGGTGTAGACATCACTGTGTCCTGCTCTGGGCTCTTCTTCTCCTGCTGTTGGGGTACAGAGAGAAGTATGAATGGTCTCTTACTGTGCAGTCTTCATAGGCTACATGGCTTTTATAGCATGATTGCTAGGGAACAGGTGGCTGACTGCACTCAGCTGATGTGGGCATTTTCATGAAGCCCCTTTGCTCCAAGTTGCTCAACCCCGGGAGGCTGCTCATGCCCATGCATTGCCACTGCTGCAGAGGGGTTGGTTGCCTCTGGCTCTCCTCCAGGGCGGGTGTCTGGTGCATTGCCTCCTGTGCCTGGTCAGGCCTGTGGAGGAGGACCTGGCTGCTACTTTTCGATCTGCACTAACTCTTGAGCAACTGACTGGTAGGCTTTTCAGACTTGGTGTCTGACATGACTCAGGATAGCTTTAGTTCATTGGAGGCATACATATTTAAAATAACAGTAATAAGGGCCGGGGATTTAGCTCCGTGGTTTTGCTGCCTGCTGCACAAGTGCAAGGACCCCAGTTCAATCCCCGGTACCCAATAAATAAACAAACAAACAAACAGTAATAAGCTGGATCTTGTATACACACACGTGTAGTTCCAGCTACTCAGGAGGCTGAGGTGGTCACTTGAACCCAGGAACTCAGGACCTTCCTGGGCAGCATAGCAAGACCCCATCTTCAAAATAATAAAAATGTAGACAGGTTTGCCCTTGTGTCTCAAAGTTCCCACCCTTTCTTTCAAGAAGTGAGTGATTTTTCTTTTTTGGTGGGCTTATATGAACTACTTGAGGCCCCTTTAATAAGCTAGCCTTTGCCCAGCCCCAGATCACTGGGGTGGGGTTGAAGTGCCCCGTCCCATCCTGTCCTGTCCCGTGTCCGTGCCCCCGCCCAGGACGGACAGATACTTTGCTTTGGCCTGCATTGCCAGACGGGCCTGAAGAGAATGAGCCGGCCCCATCCCATTACAGCTTCAGACGGGCCTGAAGAGAATGAGCCGGCCCCATCCCATTACAGCTTCTGTCGCAGCGTTCACTCTTGCCCTCCTGGCTGCTCTGGTCTGCGTAGAGTGAGTTGCTGTGGCGCTGTCTGTCCAGGGACCCTGTGAATGAAGGTGACCTGTCCCTCTGAGGGACACAGATGGTGCTGTTGGCTCAGGGGCTCCTGTCTTTTCTTCAGGCTGCCCTGGCCTTGGCCAGGAAAAGGCCGTCCACCATCGCCTATGAGCTTGGCGGGGTGGGGGCCCTTGGGAGGAGTGTTGCCTTGCAGCAGACTCTCTCCGATGACACCGCTGGGTGTTTTCTCCAGGTTGCATTTCCAGCTCCAGGGCAGCATCCTCCTCCTGGCCTCAGTGCATCGAGCTGAGTAACAGCCACCAAAGAGAGATGCACTCCAGACTGCAGGGATATTTTTGGAATAGTGGAGAGATCTTATTACTGCAGCTTCTTTTAGAAGGAGTGATTTGCTGACTTCCTTCTGGAAGGGAAAAGAATAATACTAGGTTCTACCACTGAGTAGCCTGTACCAGAACTTCTCAGCATCTGGCACACATCAAGACTATTTTCTTTTTTCCCCCTAGTGCTGGGCCCCACCTGCTGGGGCCTTGCCATGCTAAGCCAGGGCTCTCCGCTGAGCTCCACCCCCACACTGTGTTTTTACCCAGGAGAAAGTGCAGCGGATCTCGGGTGCTGCTGGCATTTGCTGGCACTGCCCGGCTGGTGAGGACAGTTCCTCCTCCTCTTTCAGGACCAGCAGGTTCCTTATAAAGTTGCACATGTCCAGGTCTGTTTCACCCCCTTCCTGTTTGGCTCAGACTTGTGGTTTTTCTCCAATTTCAGGGTCGGCAAGACATCACTTATGAACCAGTATGTGAACAAGAAATTCAGTAACCAGTACAAAGCCACAATAGGAGCAGACTTCCTGACCAAGGAGGTGATGGTGGATGACAGACTAGTCACCATGCAGGTAGGCCTGCCTCCCGCCTTGCTCGCTATCTCGGTGTTTTCCTTCCCCGCTCTCAGACCTCATGGTTGTATTTGTGGGTAGTTGGCTGTGGGCAGAATTATCAAACACATGGGCCGGGGATTTAGCTCAGTGGTTTTGCCACCTGCTGCGCAAGCGTAAGGACCCAAGTTCGATGCCCAGTACCAAAACCCAAAAAGAATTATCAAACACATACACCAGACACCTGGGTTAAGTTTACACCCCACCCCTCACCCGCCCTTTGTGACACCAAGAATGGACCCAAGGGCTCCTGCATGCAGAGTTGGAACTGTACTGCCTCAGGCTGCAGATGTACCTCAGTGGTAGAGCACATTTCTGGTGTGCTTGAGGTTCTAGATTCCACTCCCAGCACCATTAAAAACAAGGAATTGTACCACTGAGCCACACCTCAGCCCTAAATTAGAACTTCATATAAGGCATACTAAAATTTGGTGATGGTTTTTGTGAAATTCAGATTTCACTGGGCTTCCTGGGTTTATTTGTTGTTGTAGTTTGTCCTGGGTTTGAGGTTTTGGTTTTTGCTAAATCTGGCATCTTACGCCTTCCTGCCTGTGTTCCAAAATGTCTTCAGTTTTTATCCGTTTTTTGTGGCGCTGGGGGTTGGAGCCAGGACCTTGCTGCACTGCTAAGTTGCCCACCCACCCAGCCCTTGGGAGGCTCGGAAGGCAGGGCTGGGTCTCTCAGGCTGAGGAGGTGGACAAGGCTTATGGACCCACAGGTTGGGGGCTTTGCCCTCTCATAGAAGGATTCGTGGTCCCACTCTCCATAGTTCATACTCTGCCAGGAATGGAAATCTGTCTGAAGAGTTTAACATAGCAAAGACAACTCTGTAGGGACACCCCGAAACTAGGGAAGACATGCGTACAGCTAATGAGGAAATGTATGCCAGGAGAAATGTTCATAATGACAAAGACCTCTGGAGGGAAGTCTTCAGTGGGAAAAGACACTATAAAATGAGGATATGAAAAAACATCTTCAAGGACC